CCACCCCACCCCACCCCACCCCGGCTCCACAAGCGGGGGTGAAGTCTGCAGGGCCACAGCTCCTGGAGCTTCTGAAGTAGATGGGCTGGGGCACTGTCACCTCCTTCTGAGACTCCTGCTGGGTCGGTGGCACTAGGGTCCCTCTGCACCCACCAAAGTCCCTGTTCCATAGGCCAGGGCAGGCCTGGGACCCTGCGTTTTCTTTTTTTTCCCTGAGACAGAGCTCTGCTCTGTCATCCAGGCTGGAGTGCAGTGGCGAGATCTCAGCTCACTGCAACCTCCTCCTCTCGGGTTCAAGCAATTCTCTGCCTCAGCTTCGAGAGGAGCTGAGATTACAGGTGTGTGCCACCACGCCCGGCTAATTTTTTGTATTTTTAGTAGAGATGAGATTTCACCATCTTGGCCAGGCTGGTCTTGAACTCCTGACCTTGTGATCCACCCACCTTGGCTGCCCCAAGTGCTGGGATTACAGGCCTGAGTTGCCGAGCCCAGCGGGAGCCTGCACTTCCAGGAAGTTCTCAGGTTCGGCCACAGGGCCACCCTTTGAGGACCCTGCCTTCCACACGCTAGCAGGAGTGCCAGCCCCTGGGCCCCGTAACCCACATCTTCCTAGGAGGTCACCTGCAAATCCTGTATCTCCGCACCCCCACAGGTGGGGCTCCGGGGCAGGGCACCCACCTCGTGCTCTGTGATGTTGATGAGCAGCTCCTGCTGCAGAAACTGCTCCAGGATGTACTTGGGCGCCATGTCAACCAGGGACTGCAAGAGAGAGAGACTCAGACATGGCCAGGAGGGGCCCCGACAACCCCAACTCCATTTCCTGCCTCAGGCTACAGGCGGCTTACTCATGTGCCTCCACAACACACCCATGTCGTACATCAGAATCCCCACCGCCAGCCCAGAGGCCCTCAAGAGCCCACCCCTCCCCGGCCTCTCCACTCATCCCAAGGGCCTCCTGTCACAAGCAGTGACGAGGCTGTTTCCACCCGTCAGACGCTTCCATGGGCAGGCCTCAGGGTGGGCACAGCGACCTCTTCCCAATACACAGGCGCTGCTTTATGTGGCTTCGTGAACCCAAAGCCCTGTGGGCCAGAGACCAAGCTGCTCCACCGACTGCCTGTCCCAGTGTGGCAGCCTGGCTCACGGTGCCCGACAGACGGGACATGGAGGCTCAGGAGTGTCCAACAGACAGATGGGGAACACGATGGGCCCTGGGGAACCCGTGCCAGGCCTCCTCAGCACATCCCCCTGGACATCAGCTCAAAACAAAGCGTCTCCGGGTCTTGGAGGGCGCACCAGGCCAAGGACTGGAGCCCACAGGAGCTGGAGAGAGAGGCATGGTGCCCTCTGCTCTGATGCCCTCCTGAGAGCCAGGGAAGGATGGCGGCTGCCTGGGATGGGGCTGGGGTTCAGCACTGTGGCCCATGGACAGGGTGGGAAACAGTTGGGGCTGGCCGGACATCAGCCACATCCTCCAGGGCACCCTGGCTGGCGTGGCCCAAGGCATGTGGGCCACCTGTTGGCACCGCCCAGGGGAGGCTGGGGAGGGTGAGAGGCTGGTGCGGCGCCCACCTGCTTGGCGGAGGGCGTCATCCCCTGCTGCACCACGATGAGGGCCCGGGTGATGTTCTCCTCCTGCATGCGCTGGCAGTACACCTTGATGGTCTTGATGCCCACCTTGGGCTCCTCTGTGGACAGAGTACACCGGCCTGTACCACTCTGGGCCCTCTCGGCCCTTGCCCACGTGGACCCAGAGCACCTGGTTCCAGCCCCCTCAGCGGAGAACACCTGAGTCCCAGCCCCCTCAGCAGAGAACACCTGAGTCCCAGCTCCACTCAGCACAGGTGCTTCTCCTACTTGGGCCTCAGTTTCCACGTGTGCAAAACGTGGCCTGAGTTGCAGAATCCTAGGACCAGGGAAGAGAGGACTGATACCTCCCATTCACCAAGAGACTAGGACAGGAGAACACGGCCCTGACACCCCTCAGTCACCCAGTGACCAGGGAGTAAGGCACCTTTGACACTGATTGGCTCCCACCCCGGGCACTTCTGGGGAGGCAGGTGACTCGGCACCAACCTCTCCAACAAGCACACCTCACACCCCAGGACACTCTCTTTAAGAAGTGTCACTGAAGGCCGCGCACACTGACTCACTCCTGTAATCCCAGCCCTTTGGGAGGCCGAGGCAGGTGGATCAATTGAGGCCAGAAATTCAAGACTACCCTAGCCAACATGGCAAAACCCTGTCTCTCGTAATACAAAAAAAAAACTAGCCAGCTGAAATGGTGTATGCCTGCAATCATAGCTTCTTGACAGACTGAGGTGGGAGAATCATTTAAACCCCAGCAGTGGAGGGTGCAGTGAGCTGAGACTGCTCCACTACACACTCCAGCCTGGGTGACAGCAACGCTCCATCTCAAAAAAGAGGGGGGGAAAAAAAAAAAAAAAGCAGGGTGCACTGGCTCACACCTGTAATCCCAGCACTTTCGGAGGCCAAGGCATGTGGATCACCTGAAGTGGGGAGTTCAAGACCAGCCTGACCAACATAGAGAAACCCTGTCTCTATTAAAAATACAAAATGAGCCGGATGTGGTGACAGGTGCCTGTAATCCCAGCTACTAGGGTGGCTGACCCAAGAGAACTGCTGGAACCCAGGAGGCAGAGGTTGAGCCCGGGTGACTGAGTAAGACTCTGTTTAAAAAAAAAAAAAAAAAAAAAAAAAAAAAACAACTTCACCAGGTCCGCTAAGCAGACACGCTCCGTCTCCGCACTGATTCTAGGTGCTGGGCTGTGCACCGAAGGCTCTCTCATCCCCCAACCTCGGAGGGCTTTAGAGCCACACTGGGGAGAAAGACAGGTGGGGAGACTTCCACAGAGCAGGTGCTGACACCAAGTGTCCCAGGGGACCCGGGAAAAGAGGCCCCAGCAGAGTCTTGAGGAACAAAGAGCAGACGCTGACAGGGAGGGGGATGGGGTGCAGAGGACTGGGCTGGGGTGGGTTAGTGGGGGCAGGGCCACAGCTCACAAGGAGGCTGCTCTGACCTGGATAGGGCCTCCTAGACCAGGCCAAGAAGCTGGAAGTGCACC